AGAGAGAGAGAGAGAGAGAGAGAGAGAGAGAGAGAGAGAGAGAGAGAGAGAGAGAGAGAGAGAGAGAGAGAGAGAGAGAGAGAGAGAGCAAGGGAAAAAAGATGGTAACCGCTTGCCTTCGATGCAACGAAAAAAAAAAAAAATATATATAAATTCCTTTTTAAAGCTCGAGAAAAATTAAGAGCCTATTCGAGATCGCAAGTAGGATGTTAAAAAGGAAAAGAAAAGAAAAAAAAAATGCGAAGTTAAGAAAAGATATTTTAGAAAAGACAAACTGTTCTATTATATTATATATAATATACACACACGAGGAAAAAAATACTATATATCTTATATTTATTTGTCCTGTTGTATAGTTATAACAATAACTCGTTGCTTGATCGCAAGCGGATCACGCGTGCCGAAAACAAACAAACAAACAATACGCGATCGACTAAGAATCAATTAATTGTAATTGAGTCGAAAGTGCAAAATATACAGACATTAAATGTTATTTACATCATTGGTCGATTTGATTTCTCAAGTTAGCCTCCCTCGAGTTAGATCGAGATGATCCATTTAGGAAAGAATGGTTCGCGAATAATAATCGTCGATAAATCGTGAAGAAAGTTTCGAAACGAGATATGTCGATCGAACCAAGTTTCCTTCCTCCTCGAAAACGATCTTAACGAGCGTTGGATGGATTCGTTGAATCATTAACCGCCACCTTGAACTTTAATGGCGTTCACGATCCTCGCTAAGTGACCCGTTTTCAGGGAACGACACGTGGCTTAATACTGTTTAATAATTTTCATCCGGTGATCGCCGTGAAATTTTAACGGGTCGTAATTGTTGGTAAACTCTTTCATCACCATTTATCACTCTCGCTAACTCGTCTCTTCTCCTTTGCAAAGACGTTACATCCCCCATTCCTCCTTTTTTCTTTTCCTCCTTTTCCGTTCCGCGAAATTTCGGGAGAGAACGATGAAAAAGCGTGATTACCCCCTGAAAAAGCGAGGTCGGTGTTCCGGTCGGGAACATTCTTTTGGAACGAATTGGGAAGAGCGAAACGTTCGTTGCGCTCGGAACGAACAACGATTCGTTAGGAGGATCGTCGTGAAAGGGAAGAGCAGTAAAAAGGGATGATGGAAAGCGTGAATCGGCGCCCAAATTGTGATCGTTACGACGGGGTATTTTACAATAAGCGGTTTATGAATTTAACCGGCCGGTTTGTGGAAACGCGAAAGTACTAATTGTTTTCCACAGAAGCTTGATTGGCTTCGAAATGGCGCTATTGTGCCGCAACCAACAATGGATCTTCCTTCGAATGAATCGGCTGCATTCCCGCTGCTGATATAATATTGTAGGGGATTTTAGAGAGACGTCGACGCCTAAAGTGACACGGTTCTCCTATTATAACGGCCCGCTTGATAAATAATAAGAGATTCGACGATTAACGAGGCAAGAACTTTTTCCTCGTTTTATCGTTAAGTAGTTTCCCGTGTTGTTCACGAATCGCGCACAAGTATCAAACGTTTCGTCTCTCTTTACGACAGCATTACGAAATAATCTATTATTTCTTCTTCTTAGAATTCGAAAGGTTTTTATATACTTTAAAGTTGAAGCGACACGATTATATTCTTCGCCCGATGATTTATTTATAAATAAATAAAGAGATAAGAAGAACGTGACGAAGAAATTTCCTTCCAATATTTTTTGCTTCGATATTGCATTATTTTTTTTCCTTTGATCGGGTTAAATTTAACGAGATGTGAAACCTGGATAAATTCCACCGAGTGAACCAAAAACCAATTAAAAAAAAATCATCGTTTCTGTCATCGTTTTTCGGCCGGATTACGAGTTGCTCTTCTTTTTTTTTTTTTTTTTGTTTTGGTTTCTTCCGGTTCTTCGAGAATCCGAATCCTGGCTCATACGTGTATTTAAATTAAAATTGTGCAACGTGATCGTTTCTCCGACGACTGTTTATGAATAAATATTAAGATGGAAGAAAACGTGACAGAATTCTCTTTGAATCTCTTCTCTTTGCCGCTCTCTTTCTCGTTTGATCGGCGAGCTATATACGAAATATGGAATATTTCGACCCGAATAAATTCCATCGACTGAACTGAAAAACCAATCTGTTCCCCTCGATACATTCGGTCCACGTTCAAAAAAAAAAAAAAAAAGACTCGGCCGCCTTCTTTTCCGCCGAGGTATTAATTTCGCTGAAAAGTCGTCGATACGCGATCGATGAAGAACCCGTCGCTCTCTCAATTCGCAAATTAATTTTCATCGCTGAAACAACGTTTCAACGTACGAGTACTCGATCGGTTTTTATTACGTTTCCCGGAATAATGCATCCGTTAATGGCGTCCACCACTGGCCGATAATTTAAGGTGGCCATTCGCCCCCCCGCATTCAATTTCGCGTAATTCACTTCCTGAAACGACACATTTTCGTTCGGAATTCCTTCGATTGTTCGCCGTAGACATTCCACACGCGGAGTCCAGTTGAACGTCTGCAGTTTGAAACGGATAAATAAACCGAGTAATTGCTTCTTCTTTTCTTTTCCTTTTTTTTTTTTTTTAATTGGAAAGCAATGGAGCGAGAAGATACAACGGGAAGAAGATATAAATGTTTTCGCTCGAAATATCGTGATAAAACGCGAATTAACTTCCGACTCGTAAATCCCGCCACTATAATGATCGACGATTAACAATTTTCGATTTGTTGGTGAGATATAACTTCCTGTTGAGATAATTTTTTATAAATCAAATTCGATCGCAGGAAGCGGATCTATTTTGAGGATGAAGAGAAATTGTTGGATTAAAGGAAATTCGATTCATCGGGAACGCGTTAGCGCAAAAATTGTGGAAGTGATTTTTTTTTTTTACAAATTATATTATACATACACTTAATGCTTTTTAAGATAAGATTGTATCACAAACAATTAATTTTTTTTTTTTAAATTTTCAGCTTCAGAATGAATTATAGTTAAATACTTGGTGAAGAAGAATTTTCGACGTCGACCGAACCACCTTTTTAAAATCTTTGCTGGAATACCTCGTTCTTTATTTTGGTAAAAAGAATAGAAATTGTGATACGAAAAATTAAACCGTGAATATTTTGAGAGATATTGCATTAGCGGAGATAAAAAGGGGGGCAAATAAATGACGAGTAAAGTTTAAAATAAACGATAATCGGAATAAATTCAATGCCTTGTCGCATAAATGGCTGCTCTCGTCCCGTCAGAATTTAATATCGCCTCTTAAACTAAAGCACTTGAAAATGCACCGCTATCGATATATATATATATAATCTAACCCTGGATCGATTTTTCTTATTAAAAAATTTTATAGGAAATAGGAATAACCAAACAATCAGATATATAATAATTTCCCATTCATAATTCCATCTGCGATAAGAAAGAAGGATAATTTGGACAAACGAAAAAACTGGGGAAGAAATCGATCAGCTGGTGGGTCATCGTTATCTGACGGCGCTATGCAAATTACATTATTTTTCTTTTCGACGTGAGGGGACAAACGATATCTCACTGTCCATTATGAACAGCCGAGAAACGAACAGATCTATCTCTGAATCCTATATACGTAGAGAGAGGATATGTTTCCTGATGGAAAACGGTGTATATTTCCCTGAACGAAAAACGTATCGCCATTATTCGAATTATTGTGGATATTAGTTATTTAAAAGACGAATACTTGTGTTATAAACGAGTTATGAAAGAGCCATTGAGGATTGAAAATGAAAAAAGGAAGATTATTTGTAAAGCAAACCACGTATGTAATGTAAATAAATTTTTTACATACGTAGAAATTATTTAACGCGTGGTGTGACTTTGTGATAATTTGTATTGTCAATACGGTGTACGCAAATAAATGGTGAACTGCGTGTGCCGATTAATAATTCGTTCCATGCGTGATGAAACGATGAAGAAGAACAAAATGATCGAATTTTCAATACTGTCAATTCGTTGTTTTACCGTGTCCCAACAACTCGTCCATACGATAAATAACCAACCAATTCTACAACCAATCTCTTTCAAATTATTTGGAAGTATTTGGACCGCCATCGATTTTGTGTTTGAATTAAATTTAAAGTAATTTGTACGTACGTACAAGTAATAGATTGAGTAAAAAATATCAGATCAAGAAATTAAAGAATTAAAGATCTTCGTCTTGTTCGAATGCATGCAAAAGTGTGCGTATTGTGTATTCAATGGACAACTATATTTCAGGAACGCTTGAAAAAACATAACATAAAACACTTGGAGCACATTTTCTTTAATCTTTCATAATTCACAGTGTGAGATATGCTGGGCCATTTATACGATGTATTTTATTTTAATCTTCTTTATGAGTACAATCCCTAAATCTATATATCGCGAATTTACGAATCATCTCGACGAATAACGATGGAACGAATCGCAGAATCGTAAGAGGCTTACACGTTGAATTAGATGACGCAATAAGGCATTCCGTGGTCAGTTGAACGTGCGAAAGTTGGCTCGGTCGGAAACCGAGAAAGGGTTAACCGCGAGAATGAATTACCAGGAGGCGAGGGTCGGATGAATTTTGTTGAAATACGAACGAAATAGGAACGGAGATAATGTATTTTTCGAATGGCACGCCACCGCTCGCCTTTTTACTCGCCGCGCAGACCGAATTAAAACGATGCTGTGCCGCGACGCGTCGTGTTTTTACAAGTTGCGGGCGGAGTTTTAATTAAGCGGAAATCGATGGAATTAATTACGGCGAGCGTACAATTTCTGGCTGGCAGAAACGGTGATGGTGTTCGATGCGGCAAAAGAGGATAAAAAGGAAACTTGGTGTTAAAAATACGACGGATAATTTATTCACGATACTCGGCTATCGAATGAATCGATGGACTTGAATTTTTAACAGATGTGATCGAGTAAAAAATTCGAAGTAATCGATGCTATCTACCTGACAAAACTTTATTTAGGATAAGCGCCAGGAATGCCAGAAAAATCTTCTTCTTGGCAACGATGTTCCAAGTTTTCGTCTTGAGTATTCATTGTGTGTCGTGTCAATAGCTATGACGACAATGATCTCTCGAACGAGTAATTCTCGATACGAAAGCAGCAAGTTTTAACGCGAAAAAGATGGCAAGATAAAATTGCATAACGTAGGTTGATTAAATCTTAGGCTATCTATTACTTTGAAAAAAGATATAAAGAGCTCAAAAAAATTTTATCTCTTTTTTATTTTCAGTTGAAATCATCAGTTGGTATCTTCAACGCAGACACATTTTTCAAGCAATTTGTATAATTATATCCCTTTCGCAACGGAGCTGGTATTAAATTTTCCTCTTCACTGGTCAAATAAAAATTTATCGCGATGGATGACTCGTCGTGACGATAGGGATTAAAGGAATATTTCGGTATTCGTAACACGTAAATAATGACACGGCTACACCTTATACAGAACAAGGAATAAGAGCGATAAGAATATAGGAATCATCGTGATAGCGATAGATAAAGCGATAACCCGATTTCTGCCAAAAATATATATAATAGGGCCGAATCGTGGATCATGGATCGAAGTTTCAACGACAATTGACGAAATGGATCACTATTGTGTTTTTATACGATTAATTCTGAGTATTCTTCTTATGGGATCGAGCAATTCCAAATTGATCGACAAGCAATGGTGGGAAACCGCTTTGATTTATCAAATTTGGCCGAGAGGATTTCAAGACAGTGATGGAAATGGCGAGGGTGATTTAAAAGGTACGTTATAAATGTAAATATACAGATGTGTTGTAAATAAATTATAAATATCGAGATTTCGAATTAATTGAAAAATATGGTATTTGATAGTAATTCATTGGATAGCGAGTACATATGAAAATGGAACATGATATTGTTAGCAATAAAATTTTATTAATTTTGAATCTTAGAAAGCTGATGGAAATTTGGAAGTTTATTTGTTTGAAATAAATTTTAAATAATGCTTCTTATAAGAACGTTTATTGTTATTTATATGTAAATATGATAGTATAAATATAGTGATTTTATGAAATTTATCATAAATTTATTCTTGAAAATTATAGCGAACGTATTGTAAACGTTAAATGCGCGAAACATTAATCTCACGGGATTGTGTGTAGATCTCGATTATCATTCGTTGGTCATGTATGATATGATGATATGATACCAACTGAAGTTCAAATTTTTCACATGTCATAGATAAAATTTTTATGTTATCATACGATGGAAATAATTATTTTATTCATTGATCTAGAAATTATTATGAAGAATATAATGCTATAATTTTAATATTTTTGAAATATAGACGAGAAACATATGAGGAAATAAATATTTTATGATTTATAAAAAATGTATGTACAAATATTTAATGTAAAAAAATATAATTTAAATAAGTCTCTAATGTCATACAGGTATCATAAATCGTCTCGATTATCTGAAAGGCCTTGGAATAGATGCAATTTGGTTGAATCCTATTTATTCATCACCACTTATAGATTCTGGATACGATATTTCCAATTATACTGACATTCATCCTCTATTTGGTAATCTCCAGGATTTTGATGAGCTTATAAGAGAAGCACATAATCGTGGTATGTCTCAATAATATAATTGATATAATTTATTTATCCATTATGTAAATATCAATTTTTTTTTAACAAAATAAAATATTTTAGATCTGAAGGTAATTTTAGATATAGTACCAAATCATTCAAGCGATCAACATGAATGGTTTATACTGTCAAGTAAAAATATTAAACCTTATAATGACTATTATATTTGGGCAAATGGATTTACAGATGAAAGGAAGAAAAATAATCCTCCTAATAATTGGGTAACTTTTTTTTAATTAATTAAATGATTTTGAGAAATTAATACTTGATAAATTAATATTATTTTTAATTTAGGTAAGCACTTACAATGATGAAAAGGGATCTGCATGGACATGGCACGATAATAGAAAGCAGTGGTACTATCATAAATTTCATAAATCCCAACCTGATCTGAATTTAAGAAATGAAAATGTATTGCAAGAATTACTGGTAAAGCATTTTCATTATGATAACATAAGTAAATAAATTTTATATACATAATTTATATATATACACATTATATATAACAATTTATTTTCTTATGTTTTCAGAATATTTTCAGCTTTTGGTTAAAGAAAAATGTTGATGGTTTTCGAATCAGTGCAGTGTCATATTTCTATGAAGATATAGATTTAAAAGATGAATTTAAAGGAAATGGAACAACTGGATTACCAGAAAACACAGCTCTTGTATATAAGTTTCGCTCATATATTGATGATTGGGTAAAGAAAAATAATGCAACTTCAAAGTATGTATAGAAATATTAAAGGTCTTATTTTAATTTATAGTCTTCATATTAAAATGCCGTAACTATTTTCAGATTATTAATTGCTGAATCTTATGATTCTGATGAAGTGTTAATATCACTTTATGGTAATTCAACACACAATGGAATTCCACCTTTTAATTTCCGATTGATTACTTCAGTTCATAATACAAGTACTGCTGAGCATATTAGAAATGTTTTGGAAAATTGGTTTAAAAAAATTCCTAACAAAGCAAGCACAAATTGGGTGGTAAGAATGCATATATTGCAATAATAATTTTCTGCAATAATAATTTTGAAAAGAGAATCTAAAAAGATGATCTATATAATTTTAGCTTTCCAATCATGATAATTCAAGAGCAGCCTCAAGGATCGGATTAAATCGCGTAGATGGACTTCATATGCTTAATTTACTGTTACCTGGTCAAGCATATACTTATTATGGAGAAGAGATTGCTATGTTAGATAGAAAAATGTTATGGAATGAAACAATCGATCCTATGGGTTGTTCAAGAACGAAGGAAACATATGCAAATTATTCCAGAGATCCTGCAAGGACACCAATGCAATGGAACTCTAGTATCTCAGCAGGATTTTCGTCTAATGAAACTACATATCTTCCTCTTCATCCAGATTATATAGAAAGAAATGTTGAAGCTCAGCAATATAAATCACATAGTAATTTGAATACATATAAATTACTTGCTGCTCTTAGGAAGGATAAAGTATTTACTCATGGAGATTATGAATTTGCAACTTTAAATGATGGTCGCATATTTATTTTTAAAAGGTATGTAATGATATTACATATATTCAATAAATATTCAATAAGTATTTAATTTTATTTTTTATTAGATCTTTAGAAAATAATCCTACATATTTTATTGTTATTAATTTGGGCCTACGATATGAAACAGTTAATTTAATGTCACTATATCCGAATTTTGAAGATCCTCTGGATATTATTATCGCTTCTAGTAATGCTGTTCACGTTACGTAAGCATTATCTCTTCTATCAGAAAAGATTATTTTTTGTTAACTATTCACAAAGATAATTGAATAATTTATTTATTAGATCAACTATTTCACCAAAAAACATTATACTCACAGCAAATGCGGCATTAGTATTAAAAGCTGACACATGCAATTGTAATACATCTGAAGGAAATAATACAAGTGAAACAACTACAATTTCTACATCGACGACAACTAGAAAAAATTCAGCTGCTATTTGTTCATCAATAATACATATAATAACAAGTATAAGTATTACAGTAACATTATTATTTAACTTTTCATCATTTTACTAATTTAAATTTTATAGAATAAAAAATTTAGTTAGAATTAAAATAATAATAGTTAAACGAAATATTTTTGTATTAATAAGAGCTTATAAATACAAAAATAACGAATGTATATTTAATTTTATATTAATCCATCCCATTTTATATATATTAAATATATCTTAGAGATATGAAATTTATTTTTGATAACAGAGGCATCAGCCTCAAACGTTAATATTCTGGTTCTAAAGTACTGCTATAATTTATATTAATAACAACACAAGTACTATTCAAGTACGTTCACGAAACAATCAATGAATTGAATGACTCATAATAAACTAAGTATGGTCTCAGGTAGTGGCATATGTCGTTTATAAATCAGTTGTATTTAAAATTATAAATTATAGATTATGATAAAAAATAAATCTTATTTGCGTTTATATAATTATACATCTAATAACGATATAAGTATTATTGATTGTTTAAAATGCAAACGAATGTGAAGTAAGGCAAAATAAAAATTTCAAACAGTTCATTGTCTTGTAAACAGTAAGAACATATCCCTCATTGAATTTGTGATTATAAATAGTGCATTGTAATTTAAAATATTACATTTATGTCATTCAGTTAATCATTTATATATAGATTCCTTTTTAAGCAGAAAAACAGGGTTTAAATAAACGCAAATACATTCAATAAACGTATCTCTCGTAAGATAAGCACAAAAGACAAACAGTAATAGGGGCAGCAAAAGAAATTTCACTGCTATCTATCATTCAATTGCTATCTATTCATGTCTATATTTATCGCGAACAGAAATGTCGTATTCGTCTTCATTGTCTGGTTTTGTAATACCGATCATTAACAGTCAGCCTAAATACTTAAGTAGTGTAAACACAAATATTTTTATTGAATCGGAAAGCAAACGAACGTGCGAAGGAAGAAATGATAATTCAAGAAATCTGTTAATCACTCGTTACAATAGTGAAAAATACGAAGAATACGAAAAGGAATACAAAACAATGGGATCTGCAGAAACTACTTACCTTTTTTGTGACAAATCGATTTATGAAGGTGTACAATTTGGTGGATCCGAACAGAAAAAAGACACAGGTTTGACATCACTATACACAAAACATGCAAAGTACGCGTACAGTAAGAGAATGATATTTGAATGAAATCTCAAATTTAAATTCAACCAATCATAACATATATGCTCGCGCATTCATGTGCCATGTGCAATTCGAAACCGGAAGTTCATAAATTAAAATATTGAATCTAGATTCGATCAATTAAAATTATATCTTATAATTTATGCGTACAATTAAAAAACATAAAACAAAATGTACGTATTTAAATCATAGTTTAAAAAATATATTAAATTGTTGATGAATTAAAATTAAATTTAAAGAATAATAAAACAAAAAAATATTGTTTAAATACATATAAAGAAAATCTTTTTTCTAGAATTAGTGAGCGATAATTTTAAATATTATACAATTGATCCAATATGTATGAACATTCGTCTCTGCATATTTTGGTTTTTATGGGCGATGTTAATAATAGTAATTATTATATCCATTTTATCTCATTGTTGCTTTATATCAAAAATATGTCACAATACCGAGGATATAATTATTGTAAATGTAACAAATACAGTAAGTATTAAATTATTTAAGTAATAAATTTTGTTTATCTTTACTCTCATGTTTTATAATTATTTTAATTTATTTTGTTTCAGTAAACTTTCCAAATTTGAATTAATATAATATACAATCCTATTTCCAATCTTTCTGAATAAGTCAATAAATAAAAAATCGATTTATAAAGATAGTATATTTTTTGTATTATTGACAAGATATAAAATAATCATTTAGTTCTTTATTTTCGATAGAACTACTATTAAATGAAATTATAAAAAGATATAGAATATTTTCAAAATAATATCTTTAAATATTTTGCAATTGTAATTTCGAAATATCCAATAAAAACGAATTTTGTCGACGAAGTATTACACACACATATATACCATATATAGATATATCTTCTGCACTGTTCTTTCGTGCAAGTATTCTATTCGTCGGTGGAATCATTGAATCGAAAGGGGAGACTTTACATCAGTACTGGATTATAAAAAAACAGAACCCCATACAAAACGATTACTTCCAACAATTTTTTTAATAATTTTATATATAAAATAATATTTCTAATTCTAAATTTTTTTAAATATTTTTTAACTTTTTTTTATTTTTTTTAATTAATTATTTTATATTTATTAATATATTTTAATATATAATATATATGAAAACATCTTTATCAAATTAATATAATTATCTACTTTTATTTAAATAAAAATTATTTATTTAATATATGAAAAAATTATGACATTTTTTAATTTTTATAATATATTATAAATCTCAATATTATTTACTTTGAAATTATGAAATTATGATATTTTGGTGCAAGAATAGCCGTCCCTGATTTTACTTTGTGTCTGATGTTTGTAGTAGTAAAGTAAATAGGTGTAGTGACAAAAAGAGAATAAGAACCAACCAGACATCTTCATGGCTTAAAACGCGTTTGTTCAGTCATTCTTGACGCTCAGGGTGCCTAAGATTCATCAGAAGTTTATTAAGAAAAAAAGAATTTTCGCACATCCCCATCATATAAGATAATTCAAGCACGACCTTGGTTTTGTTCGATAATCATAATGGAGAGTGGGAGGTTGAATTTAGATAGTGTCGAAGCGAATGGGAACGCGAAAGAAACGGCAGTTGTCGCTACTGCTACATATAAGGCGTTACCGGACGACGATACTGCTAGACAAGACAAAGTAGAAAATATTACAATGGGAAAACCAAATAATGAAAACGAGATTGATGATGGGGTCCACGAAAAAATGCTCAAGGATGAGAGTAAAATTTCTCCTATAAAAGATACGACCGAGGTATGTTCATAAGCATATTCTTGAAAAATGTCTTAATCTACACGATCAATAAAATGTGCCACTTTCATATAATTAAAAAATAATTTCAATTATAATTAAAAAATTATCTTTTTCTTTTTTATCATTATTATCATTATTATTTTTGTTTTGTACAAAAATTCCTTTTTTTACAATAGTTTTTAATTTTATCTATTCGCCATTTTTTTTGTTCAATAATAAGAAATAATCAATTTACTTTCGAATTTTAAATAACTTTCTAATCCTTTTTCATATGTTTCATGTGTTCCATGTTTTATAATATTCTAAATTTATTATTTGAAAGTAAATATTTGTTGTTATTACATCATCTTGTATAAATGTTTTACAAAAACTAGAGAGTAAAGTTAGAATAAAAAAATTCGGGAAATAATCATGATTGATTGCATATCAAATTTATTAATTTCTTATATGATATATTATTATTTCAAATAGGTAAAATTTATTTCCGAAAATGGAGATACTAAAATTGATATTGAAACAGTTAAGCAAGCTCTGTCTGGAATGGGAAAAGAAGAATTAATGAAATTTGCTAATGATCCATTTTGGATTCGATTAAGATGGTTCTTATTTGTTACTTTCTGGTTACTTTGGGTAGCTATGCTAGCTGGTGCTATAGCTATTGTGGTAATGGCTCCAAAATGTACAGCACCAAAACCTAAAGAATGGTGGGAGAGAAGTTCTATTGTTCAATTAGATCCTGTTGAGACAAACACTCATGATCTAAAAGGTGTAGAATCTTTGTTAAATGTATTGAAAGAGCAAAACGTAGATGCAATTTCTCTTGCTTCCATAGTTAAAGAAAGTTTAACAGGTAAATATATAATTTTTACATATAATTTATACATATTTTTACATATAATTAATATAAATAACAGATAACATATGGCATTTTAAAAAATAGGAGGAACAGAAGATTTCAAAAATATTAAACCAGAATTGGGAACTCTAAGTGATTTGGAAACTCTTATAAAAGCTGCAAAAGATAGAGAACAATATATTATTTTAGAATTAGATCCAAGTCATACATCAATTGAACATCCTTGGTTTAAACGTTCTATTGAGAGAGAAGAACCATTCTCATCTTATTATGTTTGGGCTGATGCAAAAATAACATCTGATGGAAGACGTAATCCACCTAATAATTGGGTTAGTTATAATTTTTCAAACTGTAATTAATTTGTATTCTTAAAAAATACATTTTATTATATATATTATTATATAAACTATTTTAGCTAAGTGTATATGGAGGATCAGCGTGGGAATGGAATGAACAAAGAGCACAATATTATTTTCATCAATTCAATAAAACACAACCTGAATTAAATTATAATAATCCAACAGTAGTAGCAGAATTTTCTGTAAGTTATTTTTCTATTCTTTTTTATATAGAGATGCAAAAATGTACTTAATAATGCTTCATTCTTAATCCTTAGGATATTTTAAGTCATTGGATAAAATTAGGAATAAGTGGATTTCGTTTAGCTAATATTCAATATTTAATTGAAGATCCAAATCTTCATGATGAATTCAGAAGTGTTATACCTACTGAAGCAGATAATTATAATTCTTTAGTACATGCTTATACAAGAGATCGTCCAGAAAATGTTGGTATCTTAACAAAATGGCAAGAAAGAATTTATAATGAAACAGAAAATAAAGGGTTGGTTATCCTTCATAATTGTATATATAGTGTATATATATATATAAGTATATATAATTCATTTCAAACAAAAATTTTTCCAGATTTTTTGCTCTTCAAGATGATATTGGTACTGACATGCTTGAAGTTTATAATGAGAAAAAAAGACTAATTGATACCCCACAAAATTCATTATTCCTTACAACTGCAGATAGCAGTATAAATGCCACAACCTTACAGCGTGGTATTTCTCATTGGCTTAATTTCACTTCTTGGCCTGCTTGGGATGTAAGTCAATATGAAATATTCATAAAATTTATATTATATTATATATTATATATATTATATTATTTTTTAGATCAATGGTAAAAAACATAGTTTGAGAGAAAGAATGCCTGCAGATATAGCAGATAGTTTAACGCTCATGATATTACTTTTACCTGGAACACCTGTGCTAAAATTGAATGATACTTTATCTGCAAAAGATGCCTTTGCAACTTTATCTAAAGCACGAGAAAGCTTAACATTCCTTTATGGAGAGACAATGCTCAAGACTATTAATGGAAGTGTATTTGTATACACAAGGTAATATAAGTATTTTCTTTTTTTTAATATTGACAATATTTTTTTTTCATTCATACATCTGAATAATATATCTTTATAATTTTATAACAATAACAACAACAACAATAACAATAATAATATAATAATAAAGGAAATAATAATATAATAATAAAGAAAACGATATTAAAAAATTGATAAAAGTTATATCTTTTAGAAACAAAATTAACTAATTGAAATATTTATTTATGTTAAAAAGAGTTCAATCACAATTGCTATCAATTATCTTAATTATGCTTTAATACTATACTTAATCTTCAAATAATTCATATACATTATATACATCTCACATTATATACATATACATTTCACATTATTGACAATAATGTACTACATAATTTACTAACCAAAGATCAATTTACCCTGTTCCACGCTTCCTTCTATGCAACGCAGGAGCTGGTGAGTTCTGTTACTAACATATAGCATGAAACCTGTAAAAATTTTTCTGTAAAAATAACTTCAAATATTAATGATTTTAACTAACAAATAATAAAATATTAATTTATTTATCATTTTTGAAAACCGAGCCAATTATTTTTTCTTATTATGCACATAAAAATATTGAATTAAAAATAAATTATTTAGGTTAAAGAGCGGCAATCCTGGTTACTTAGTAGCGTATCAATCGGCAGAAGAACCTACTGTCGTAGACTTTTCTATAATACCACAAATTTCTGAAGAAGTTAGTGTAATTGCATATAGTCCTAATTATGTGCAAGATGGTGAAACAATAAGGTAATATTATTTCATAATTATTATTTATTTTATTTTTTTATTTATTTATAAGACATTAAAAAATTATTTTATAATTATATATATAAATTTTAATAAAACTTTTTTTTTTACAGAACAAAATTGCCTTCTAATAAGGTTCCTATATCAGCCAAGAGTACAATTGTTTTAACATTTGTTCCAAAAAATTAATTATGAGATAAAAAATATTATTGATTAATATTAATCTCATGTTTATTATGCTTATACTATTATATATTATAGCATTTATTATAAATAATTATGTACTGCTTTTATGAATAATATCATTAAATGTGATGCATGATTAATTAAATATGAAAAAAAAATATATATGGAAATTCTATAATTAATTCATCATTTATTACTTAAGAAAAAAATGTTTTTTTAATCATGATCAAATCAACAATAAATAGTTTCACAATATATATTTATTCAATATGAAGTTTATGTGGGTCTGTAAATCTTGCTGTAAGAATATAAAACAATGCAGGTAAAGGAACTAAAGCAAGCATTGCTGGATGAATACCAAAACCACGAAAAGTTGCTGCAGCCATTAATCCATATCCATATAAAAGCCAATGACCTAAAATAACTATTGCATTTTTCATATCTGATACACAACTTAATAATAATGCTTTCATTGACTGGAAAAAAAATAAAAATTAATAATAAAACATGAATTGTGGATTATATTATATTAAATATATTAATTAATTTAAAAATAGTTAAATATAAATAATAAAAAAAAATATTACCTGATTTAATTTAAGTGAAAAATGTGCTGCATTAGATAATACAGATAATATTATAGTTATATATGGAAATGAATAATCTGTAAAAACAATTATTAGAAATATAGAGATACATAATTTACATATAATTTTAATAATTAAATAATTTATAGAAATATATAATTTCTCAAATTGTTTCACTTACATATAAGACCACCACCAACTGCATGTAGTAATGCTAAAATAGGATAAAAATAAAGAGCAGCATAAATTGAAAATTTTCCTTGTCTTGGTAAAAATTTCTTGGCTACAATTGGTCTTATTATTAACATAATAGCTGTTCCTAGAGCATAAAAAATGAACACCATAGTGTACCTAAGAATTAAATGATTATTTAATTTTTCAAATTGAATAACGTTAAATAAATTAATGATTAAAAAATTACTAACAAAGGATAAACAGCTTCTTGTGTACAATGTAAAGTTTCTTCATAATTTGGACTAGGATTGTGTAATAATGTATACCAATCTGAAAGTTTCATAGCTCTACATGATCTAACTTTAAAACTACCTACAGGATCTGTCAATTGTAAAGTAATTAGAGATGCAGAAACAACTTCCAATAAAGCAGACAAATGTAATGCAATCACTTTCTTAGGTATATTACGCTGGTTAGATACCATATCAATACAAAACCAATGTAGTACCAATGCTACTAATGCCATAAATCCTAGATAGAGCCAATCATAAAGCATTGGTTCATCATCACAGGGTACACATATTGAAGAGGCATTTGCTCTAAATCCTCGAGGACATGCACCACAGTCACTCCAATTTCCATCTGATAATAATTCTCTTCCACAATATAATCCAGGACATCGAGTAAACAAATTTAATGCATTTGATTTTGGTATTGAGCACATGAAGAATTAGATGAAAAAACAATATTTATTAATATTTCTGAAATTTATAACGCGTTTTTTTAAATTTTAAAATATACATTAACAAATACACTTTATTTTTAACAACATAATATAAGTATTTAAAGGTTAAATATCGAATACAACAAATTATATTCCATATAATATAATGACATAATCTTATAATATGTCATCAATTTCAAAATTTATTTTAAATAATAAAAATGCGCTATTTTTATGAAAGCACTTTGTTTTTAAAATTTAACAATGTGTTATGATAACTTGTAAAAGTTTGTAAACTATGAAGTATGTAACGATATTTGTCAATTATGTATTATGGATCGGTAATATCAAATATATATTAATACAAAATATAACAACAAACATAATACATAAAATAAGAAAATGACTTTATAAATGCAAATAATTTTAAAAAAATATTAAAATTGTGAAATAAATAAAAATATATAATATATAAAATATAACTTTACACATACATATATATACAGATATTATATACATTATAAATATAAATTAATCTATAATACAACAATGTATCAAAAAATCTTAGAAACAAATTTATAAATTATTTTCTATTATTTTTCTAAAAATAATAATAAAAGTACCAACTATAAAATATATTGTATAGTTATATTAAGCTAAGTTCATAGAAACGGAAGCAATTGATAATAAATTATCAATATAGACAATAAACATCAATCAGAAAATATTAAAAAGAAATATAATTTTTAACCAATAGTTTCAAGTGATGTTAATAATGTAGTTATTTAATTGCAAATTTAAATGTTCCTAGTAAAAAAAAGCAATAGTACTATGGCAAAACGGTAAAGATTCGTAAAGTGGCGCAATCTAGGGTATTCGCTGGTATTCGTGTTTGATCGGGAATCTCCGGCCGATGATTGTCGAGTGCACATTACTATTTTCAGGCACACAAGGCACCTCTTGACGGGTTTTCAATAAGTGAAGAGGGCGACGGTGCAAGGATCCTTTTTTCTTTTTAATTTAAATTTTACGTGCGGTAGATGCCGAAATTGTAGTAACTTGTGTGCGCGTAATAAAACGTACGATGTTGGAAGACGTCTCGGCAGGACTTAGCGCCTGACGGTCTGTCGGTCGTTCCGGCAAAAATGAAAGAAGCTCGTCGGTCCGAGCAGCTGATGGCGGCCGAGTGCTGTTCGAGCCTCAGTGTCCCCCATCGCAACGTTTAAGTGAGTGTGTGCGTTTAGCTGCGCGAGCGGAGTGCGGCTACCGCGTGCGGAAGGAAGATAATTTTGTGGAAGATAGATTTCGCGCGACGAAAAACCGCTTGTAGACAAGCTACAAGCTATTTCGTAACGGTGCTTCTTTCGCGATTTGGTACCCGACACGCAGGCACGGTACGGTAAGCCTGCCAGCCGTTCACGGTCTCCGGTGCCGTAAATCAAATATTCGTTCGAACGGCAAAAACCGAAGAACTGAACCATAGACCAAATCATCGGTCGTGGTTTCAGGTAACGCGTAATCCACATACGATCGAGAAAAGACACGGTGCCGCTTCTGTGTTGCACGGTGTAGGTGGGAGATTCGACGTACGACGGGGCGTGCGTTCGCGTGTGACAACGCCTAACAAGCGATCGCGCCCCTTTTCTCAACCGATACAAAAACGAGCTGACAATTCTTCATTGAATTTTAATTGAACTGTGAACTTAATGGATCTCTTCGATTGACAAACCTTGTCGATTAACACGTTGCTCTGTTACGCGGAAAAACTCGTGCTATGCACGCACTACTATCAATTTTCATCCCTCTCTACTTCAGGAACGTCTGAACCAGTAGGTTACCGTGTTCAGGTACACCACGTGCGCTTGGTAATCGTGTAGTGTTGCTTTATCCTTGTGTGTGTAGTGAGTTCATCTTCCTCGACGCGGAATGCGACCTCCTCGGGGTGGATGCAATCTTCTTTAGTCGCGTCCAACGCCGAAAAAGTGCAGCCGAGGCACGAAAGTGCCTCCAGCGTTCCACTTCCCTCCAGTTCTTATAGTGCCTCTGCTAATCCCAACATGTCGTCAGCGACTTTTGTGGACCGGATAGATCCCTTTGCCAAGAGATCTCTTAAGAAGAAATCTAAGAAATCACAGGGTTCATCTCGTTATCGTAACTCTCAAGATGTTGAACTTCAGCAGTTACCACAGCTCAAAGGTTAGTTGTGATCTTATACTTTATTCCTTTATATATTTCTCGCATTTTCATTATATGTCACAAAGATATATTGATAAGATTTATGAATGGGAACTAATAAATATATTTATATTTTTTTTCATCATGATCTATTTAAATAATATTTATAAGTAATAACACAAGCTATCCGCTTTATATCATCTGTAGATTTAAAGGTATAAAAGATATATATGTAATTATGTTTACAATGAAAAGCAAAAAAGTTAATATATTTATAGTTTCAAATATTATCTTTCACATTATGATTAGTGTAAGATATAATACTATAATATTTATATATAAATGATATTACATAATAATATAAATACGTCTGCTTAATTTAATATAAAGTTTTTGTGTTACAATCAAACGAATCTATCTTCATGATATTGATTGAAAATGCAAGTTATATATTCTTATAATTTTTCATTTTATATCTTTAATATATCATATTTATTATATATATATATATTGTTAAATCTTCTCATTATTATGAATATAGATCTTAATTTATGCATTATATATGAAAAATATTTTTGATATCAAGGAATTATACAACTAACAAAATATTTTATTATAATTTTTAATATTGAGCAGTTAATATATAAATAAATTATATTTTCTCATGATAAATAAAAATATTAAAAATGAATATAATTAATGATTTCAATATATTCTGTTTTATTTATTTTTTATTTTTTGTTTTTATTAATTGCATGATTAAACAATTACAAAGCACCACGTTTATGTATATTGAAATAATTAAATTCTTCTTTTAGTTGATATAAATTTTATAAATGATAATATTAAAAATAAAATGATATGATATTAATATTAATGATATTAATGATGTAATATTAATGTTACATAAAACATTAAATAATGCAAATTTAATATTGTTTTTTTAATAATTATATATTATTATTCGATATAAAGATAATATGAAATTGCTGTAGTTAACCTCAAAATATTTAGCGATAAGCACATTTATATTAAAAATACATCTTTATTTCTTAAACATTTAATACAATTATTATATATAAGGTGATAGAAATCTTTATTTATCGAATATTTAAAAAGTAATAGCATTTAATTCTGTGAATACTTGTCTGGCGTACTTCGTATTGACGTATGTTCAGAAAATCGATGAGGAGCGGCAAAGCAGAGGTCAGTTCACGTTACTCGACCGATTTTCCTGCAATATAAATTTCGTATATTGTCGATAGCCACAAGAGAAATTTTATATCATACAATTAGTAATTTTTTCAATTAGAAATGTCGATATTATCATGCATAGCATAATTTTATATTATTTTATGTGAATTGAAAATTGAAATTTATAAATTGTGACACCATGTGGATGTCATCTTACATTATGTATTCTTATATTATTATTCTATTTGAGATTTTATTTCATGAAATTATTATACAAAATTATAATGTTAACTATAAAATTAATCATAAATTCTGACTCTACTCTTGTTGATTAGGCCGTTCCCCTGCTGTTCGTCCTTCAAATTACTCTTACATAACCTGTACAAGCTTATTATTTTCTGCAATTGGAAGTTACATATTGAATGAATTGTTGATTTTCAGAAAGTATTATTTAAATAATTTCAAAAAAAATCCATATATACATTTTAATTAATTGAGACGTATACGATTTAATGTAAATCAGTCATTAGGAAATTCATGTTAAGTGTACTTTACTAGCATAAAGGTTAGCTTTTAAAATGTCGACGTTTATTAAAAATGTTGCAAATAATGAAATTATATTATTTCAAAAATTTCTTCTATAAACAAGATATATAAGATTTTTTCTATAAACAAAAGAAACAAATTAATAAAACACAAAAAAGGAAAAAATAAATTTTCATAGTTTTCATCGATATAATTTATATTATGTTTATGTATTAATGTCGATACAATTTTAATTCAACGAATTCACACTATTTTTGTAAGAAGATGCTTGAAAACAGTAGGTAGTGACCCATAAACTCATGGCACGTTCCAACGACGAGTGGTTATGCGAAATACAAGCATCCACCTTGCAGTAGGCAGTGTCGTTCACCTCTGCCAATAAAACGGCAGTAGTCCTTATAGTCTCTCCTTTTCTGTTACGCATTCACTAGCTTCACTGTCTTCACCGCTTTTTTCCTCCTCTTTACACTTGTTCCTATCTCTTTACTTCTACGCGGTTTCTCTTACCATCTCTTTCTTGCATGCCGCGTACATAACCTATATGCACGTGTTTTCCGCTCGAGTGTTGTATGCGTACGTGCTATGCGTTTACGTATCGATACACGCGATATCACATGTTTCACGGAAGAGTAATTTTCGGTTAAAAAACAAAAATCAAAATAAAGAATACATACGTACTATTATCTGAGAGAAGAGAATTCAATAGTCAATAAGGTTAATTTATTTTGAAAACAAATAAATGATCTTTATTAATTTAAAATTATATGTGCTACCATAAAGTTATCTCTATGTAATACGTGTTATATCGCAATATACTTTGTATACTTTGACAGTAAGATTGTAGCCATAGTCCGGTTTCATGCTAAATTTATGTACTGCATAAAGTCTGTGACAAAGACCAAAGCGGGAAAATATATTCGAAAATTATATACTCTGCCAGTGATTGCAGTATTTAAGAGCATCCTACAGAGTATTTGATATATATTCATTGTAAATATTTGTTAATAATGAAAAGTACAGTTTTTATTCGTAATATTGGTATATGTAAGTGTATGTAGGTAAAATATATAAATATTGCAAAAAAGATTAATAGAAACATACGATTCGTCATCTTATAAATATTGTATTCTTCTCTGTTGATAAAGATTCGAATTCAGATAATAATACAAATAATAATCGTTTAATGGTCGAATAGATCGGAGAAGATATGAATTTTGCTTCCATACTGCAACCAACCTACGAATAAGACTTATTTAGAAACACGTAGGTGTGCAGCCAATGTGTCTACCTACGAGTTCGCGTTGTTCAACAGCCGAAGTATTTTAAAATTACAATCATTAGGATACCTATTTAAGAGGAAACTTTTATTATACTTTCGATCTC